CACGGACGAAGGAGACGACGACGACGGACAATCACTCATATGATAAGCTCCGCTCGACAAAGTCGACAGCGGAGCTAAAAAGTATTCCAGTTCCCACATGGTCAATACACTGTCCCAAAATCAAAGACAACAACATTTATTGATTCACATACACAATAACTTGAACTATGTGACAGCTGACTAACCTTTTAGGATTCGTAAAAACTATGGCAGGAATATAATCCATGACGGCAATGTTAACAAACGACTGAGCTGAATCGATAACATGTAGTATGGCGTCAATATCGGAACTACGACCGAATGGACATAGCGCAGGTGGGGAACTCTGTCAATAGAAAATGTGGCTATATAATCATATTGAATGCTGAATTGGTAAAATTTTGAGGATACTGTCTATTTATTATTTTATTTAAGCAAAATATAGTGAATTGCCATGGAATGCATGCAGGACACATTTGTGGAAACTAAATTTTGTTTCCTTAAATTGTAAATAAAATATTTATATTGTCAGCCATTATCATATGATGTTCAATTTTAACAATTTCTCAGCAAGATTTACCGGTGATCGAGGGTACTTTACCTCAGAATGTCATCAAGTAATTGAATTTTACTGATTTCTATCATATATACAGTACTTGCTCTTTTAGTAGCGATTACACTTGCGTAAATTACAGAGGTGTTTCTATGGTAACATCTTAATGATTCAGCATACAACAAATTTGGGGTACCGGTATATATCACTTCTATTGGAAATACATTTCTTTCTAATCAGGTCTATGATACGGTGATTGGTAAATATAATAAGCAACTTACTGCAATCAAAGTTGAAGTTGCTGTATCATTAAAACTCAACTGCAGTGGATTGGTTATATTAAAGTCAGTCTCATATTCAGATGGCCACTGCTTTGGTATTTGTGGAATTGGGTTCTCCCATATACCAGTATGTCTCAAATATCTTCCCCATATCCTGTGCTAAACAGCTGCAGTTGTAAACAATCGCTCCAAGTTCTTTCACCTGTAAAGTGAAAAAGTAATCGAAATAATAATAATAATAATAATTGACAAATTACATTTTTATAAAGGTCATCACCTGGTGTCAAAACTGAAAAAAGTTATAGAATATCGAGATAATGAAATTTTTCAAGATGCTGAATCGTTTGTGTTAAGAACATCAAGTTACAAAAATAATGGTAATCACGCCCATATTTCAGAAATCATGCCCAAATTATAACTCAATGTTCAATTACCAAAATTTGAGTTAGGTAACACACATTTTGTTTTTTACTGAACGTTTCATTCAGTAACACAAACTTTAATCAACAGTTTGATTTACTGACAACAAAACTTTGAGTTTAATATTGACAACATAGATTTTGTTTAATGTTGTATTTTTCTCGTAACTTGAAGTTGGGTTAACTGTTAAACAAAACAAAAAATGTATGTTGCCTGTAACTCAAAGTTTTGTTAACTGTTAATTGAACATCAAGTTATAATTTGGGCAAGGTCTTGCAAAAGCTGGTGTGGTTTTGCAAAAGTGGGCGTGGTTTTGCAAAAGTGGGCGTAGTCATTTTTGTAACTTGATGTTCATAACTCAATGACCATAACTCAAACGATTCAATTATCTGTTACAAATTTACATATTGTGACTATGATGTTACAGAGAGTGCCATAAAGACCCACCAATGTAACCAATACTGGAATAAATATCCAGAAACATTATTGTCTGTGTTTGTTTTGATTTTGATAATTGTATAAATGAAAATCAACAATTCTTTCGATAATGGCTAGCAAAACAAGATTCTAATAATAATATTATTTTGATTTTCATTAAAAAAAAAATCTGCATTAGAGTCCCAATCGACGATAACAACACGCGCTAAAAATACAAAGGCTCATGCGTAGCCATTAGTTTGTAAACAATGACACGCTATGGCCATCTGACGCATGCGCACGTGACGACTCCCCTGTTTTAAAGTAGCTTACACTATTACATATACAACGGTTGACAGTATTAAAGCTATTATAGAAACTGCCATCATTATACACATGTTGCAGAGGAAAGTGATAAGCAGAAATCATTTTTGTTTTTGCTTTTTTGTAGTGCCGACTGGTCAATTTGGTGTAGCAGCAAAAGTTACTTAATCCCAATACTCACCTGGGTCAATGACCTCCAGTCCATGTTGGCGCTTCCAATAAAGAAATGTTTACCGTCCACCAGCCACATTTTAGTGTGCAGGATTCCAGAATGCGATGGCATGAATCTCTCAAAATCTAAACTACGAACTTCAGCAGCTCCGGCTTTGGCTAAATCTTTTGTATCTTTAGTGGGTTCCGCGTCTGTTGGTTGTGATTGGGCAATCCTTATATCAATTCCTCTTTCTGTGCCAGCTCTGAGAATTTCAGAATAAATGTGTTCACCCTGAAAGTAACAATCAATGAATCTCATGTATTTTTTTAGTGCACGGTAATGTTCACAGATGAGATCCAAATTGAACATTTGTTGGGCATGATTTAAAATATTTACTGCCACAAAATTTCACGATATCCGTGGCTAGTGAAACACATACACATTTGTCTCATGGAAAGCAGTTATTTTTTTTATTTATTTTTTTTAAATTTTCGTTTTTGTTAAAAAAAATTATTTCTGTATGATGTATACAGTGGAAGTAGTACATATTTGAATTAGGCGAGGGTTCTCCGAGCCCGCCTATTCACATAGTTCATACCCACCATAGACTCCGGTCAGTCAAAATGACTATTTTGAATTGTAGGCATTAATCAGCAATTCTGCCGGTGACGGAGAGATAGAATCTAGGTCAGGGGAATCCCCATGACCTCAAATTCTTTTATCCCTTACGTCACGAACCCACGTGACCGAGGCCACATGGCAGGGCCATAGGTACCGTCAATCACTCTGGTTCCTTTCTCTCCGCCTCGAGGACTTAGACCAACGCGACGGAAAGAGTGGGGAGGTTGGGGGGAACCCGGATTCTATGGTGGGTATGA